TAACTTCCATAAGGACCATAATAATAATGCATAGTTCTATCTCCACCTCCACAACATTATAAAATAGTTAATTTATTTAGGAAGATCAAAGACTTCATCGTTATTGACCAAAAATATAAAAATAATATTTATTAGTGGGAGAAGTAATGAGCTTATCCCAACATAGATAATTCATATCACAAGTGTCATCCTAATGAATCTCAAAGAGGCTAGAACTAACACACTAACGAAGTCAAGCCCCAAGAAATTATAATAAAGTAAGGTTTATTTTGATTCCACCTTGCCATATTTAGAGGCATTAATTACCTCCTTTGATTTTTGTAAGTTCTGCATTATGAAACCTAGAGTGATGTTATCATCATCACAACCTTAATTGTAGGTTGTAAGATTGTTGTATTCTTATTAAACTAAGGAGTTTCACTAACATTATATTTAAAAGAAGGTTTACTAAGATGAATTTTGGTTCTTCTTGGTTGTAACCTAGCATTAGCCCCTTTATGAATTCTCTGGTGAATATTTGGAATCAGTTGAAATGCTTAAACCAGCAATTATAACTTAGCAACCAATAAAGACAACTAAAGCCACAATAAAAGCCAAATAATAACAACAATGAAAATATATTTCATTTAATCAAAACCTATATATAATAACCTAGTTTACTTTCATTCTGTATATCAAAATAATTAAAAAAATAGATTACAAAATATTACCTTAATAACTCATATCTAGATATCCTGACTCTATCATCTTACTCTACTTGGCCTTTTCTTTTCTCCTAAAGATCAAAAAGTATCATATAATAGGCATAACAAGCTCAATAGACTTCTTTTCCTAACCCATCATAGATAGCATGCAATGTCCATTTAAAATAAAATATTAAATTACAATTTAATTAAAGTTAATTAATTGTAAAAATGAATAAAGTACTAGTAAAATATGATTTTCTAGGGTCTCGATATGTACTTAATTTTAGAGTTCTTACTTACAACTTTGAAGTCACTTTCGAAGAGATTACTTTTAGATGCATCACAAAACACTTTTCATCAAAGGTTCATTTGTACTTGACTCTTAAAGTTTATCAAGCTAGAGAAATTCAGTGATTTTTAATATTTAATTCAGAATATTACTTATAATTAATTCATTAAAATTATCAAAATATATAATGCATGATTATAATGCACAAGTCCCAATACCTACTTATAACTTCACTTCCACTTATACCTCCCTTTAACCTCCCACGTATGCATATGACAAATGAGGTTAAAATCAGAATAGATCAGTAAGACATAACCTCTCACATTCGTTTTCAACAAATGGGGTCAAAATAAAATATATAAGGCCCTTGTAATATATTAAAGAGTGCACTTTTTACATATCAAAATCTATCTAATCCCCTGCTATGAATAGTTCAAATGTAAATGCAATAGTAACTAGTTTATAAATCCAATTCAGTGCTTAGGTGATGCATAAGCATGAATTGCTAGTAAATCTCATTGTATGTATAATATTATACTCACTAAACTTCTCTCACTCAAATTCCAACTTCATAGGGATATTCACATGATCCTTTTAACATTTTTTATATAACTGTTGTAATTGTCAGAAAAGCCTCAATCAACTTATATACTAAAAAAATTATATAGGAAAAATCAACTAGTGAAAATCCAATTTCTTATAGTCATAATGTTTAAAATAGTGTGTACAACAATAAACTAAAAGTTACATAGTAAAAATATCGTAAGACACCAAAAAATATATTTTTATCCATTTTTTTATAAAACCATTGCAATTGAAATTAGAGATAGGAGTGCAAAAGTTTACCTCGTGCTTTATAATATTCTGAATAGGCTCAACGCGCGGATGAAAGAGCTTTGACCTCCAAATCCTCTTCCTCTCTTTCTCTCTCATCTTATTTTCTCAATTCTTTTCCTCTCTTCTCTAATAGAAAGGTCGGGAGAAAATGAGTTTTGCAAATATTTTAAGATATTTTAAAATTAAAAAAAATAACTAATTTAGCCTAGCGCCATGCATGACACCACCTTATTAGCATCATTGTGGCCAGCATAATAGTCTAGATTCTCCTAGAATCCTCCAAATGAAGAGTACGGTGTTGCGATGTAACTTCTTTATGTTGTGGTACCTCCCTTTCTTCCTTTCCAATAAAGAGCAGGATGCTGCAGTGATGCTCATCCTGGCATTGCGATGCTCCCAAAGAAATTTTGATAACTTACATTTTCTTTTTTTTTTCCAAATCACTCCAAGGGTCATTTAAAAGCTTTCTTAAGAATTTATTAGACACCTTGGGGCTCATAATTACATAATCAAATCAAAATTAAAAAAGAATTAACTAAAATCACATCAATTATCTCTATTTTAGATTTGTAGATATTACATGAGAAGGCCAAATTATGCCACCAATCATTTTGGGGGTAGTCAACCTACAACATATTGCATTCGATAACATCATTATAGTTGGTGCGTTAATAATCTATTGTGTTATAATTGACTAATTATTACATTCAAAGCTATTATTTTGACATTATAATGAATTTCTTGCTCAAGGCCATACTCTCACCATAAAAGGAGACTAGTTGTAATGTTAGGCTTGTTACCAAAAGATGGTAGGATCATGTTGAAGGGGAAAGGGGTGATTTAAGAGTGTTTTTCTTATATAGAATAATTTATCATACTTGATATTCTAAAAGCACCAATGAGTTTGAACCAACAAATATCATCTTAAATTGTATAAAATACTCACAATAATCCATATCATCAAAATTAAATAGAGAATCTAGATTGCTTAATCTCTCAAAAGGAATAAATTCTTAAGATTAATTACACTTGAAGATGTTTCTAAGAGATACTCTTGATTAAAGAAAACATACTTGTATTTGATTTTACTAGATTACATCAAAGAATAGATTATAATTCAAGGATTATCATCTTAATAGGAGAATCTATGTTTCAAGATAAGTCACTCCACATGGTAGAGAGCGATCACTATAATCAAGTAAAATTACTATTTATCTACATAGTAAATCTTATGTGATGATAATTCTTGAATCACTAAAAGGAGATTGAAGGGCTCAAAGGTGGGTGATGGGAAAATCAATAAGGAATCCAAAGAAATGTAGAAATAAAATTTTCAAATTTCTTAGATGTGTCATACAAGGTTATCAAGTTCAAGATTACTTAGCCGTGAAGATAGTCAACCCAACCCAACCATAATATACTATTTTAGCAACTATGAATAGTATTATCCACAAAAAGTCTTATGATCTCAAGCCAATAAAGTGAACATAAATTCCTTTATAGATAATTTTTATGGGAAAATTTTAGAAAGATAAAGTGTTTACACTCCTTAGAGGTACCATGCCTACAAAAAATAGGTGTATGAGATAACCCAATATATAATAAGAGTCACTCAATCAGACTTACAATTCCCCTATCATGTCCCAATAAGAGTATGACCTCAAATCTTGAAATAAGTTTCAAAAATTAAAATCAATTAAACTTATTTCATGCTCAAAAGAGAAAAGTTTCTTACAAAGTAATTATAAGAAGAACACAAAAAGTAGATAAAACATAATAAATAATATTTATTATATCGATAGAGTCCATAAGAATAATTAAACAAAGAAGCAAATATATATTGAAATATCCACCTAAATAACACATCAACATGTTGAAAATACTCATTGATTGATTAAAGATTCCACTAGAAGAACTCATAGTCAAAACATTCATAATTTGAAACTTGTCCATGATTATATTGTTTAGGGAACAATTTAGGCTTAACTACTTGCTCATACCCAATTATAATATGTTTAACCAATTCATTATGTGTAGTTATACCATGCAATCAACTATGAAACACCAACCATAATCTTTACTTATAAATAGTGGTTTAGGGATTAGAGATGCATAATAAATTTCATAAGTAATAACATTCTCTCTTCGAATTATTTCTCAATGGGATTCAACCTAGGACTAAACTTCCCTTTTTTTCTCTTAGCTTTTTTTTTTTAATTTAATTGGTTTCTCTAATAAAATCTTAGCATTTTTCATGAATAATTTTCAATCCAACATTAGTAATATTCATACAAAAATATGAAGATTATCATATACTATATATCCATTTAAATTATTTAATTATAAGCTGATTGCCCCTATTGAGATTTCATGCGTGAGTGGATTGCGTTAGTACTTAGAATAAGCAAAAGCTAAGGATATGTTTGAAACAGTTTTCTTTCCACTTTACTTTTTTTTTTTATATCGCAGCCTCAATTTCGTTTGACGATTACTTCATTATTTCTTAGGAATTTATGTACTAAGAAGCTGTTTTTTTCAGCTTTTTGAAAAAATATTTTCCCAACAACTACTTTACAACTATCTTTACAAAAAGTTACGGTTATTCCAAACAGATCATAAGTATATTATAACTCCCAAACTTTGAAAATTTCTGTAGAGATGAATAAGTTCTTAAAAAGGAATGCATTATATAGGATAATCAAAAGTAGTAATACACTTAGGCTTCGTTTGATTCGATTTATGCTTACATAAAAAGGAGTTTTAGAAAAGGAGGTTGAGAAAATTTAAGAAGGAACAAGTTATCACTTTTTTTTTTTTTTTTTGACATTTAGGTCATTTAAGGTAAATTCACAAACACAAGGCATACACAAAGACTTGAATCCTAATTTTCTTAGTTGAAAGTCTAAACTTTCAACCAACAGATCAAGATGAGCTGTGTAGTTATCACATTATCACATATTGGCCTCGGAGCTCACATCCCACTTAAAATTATCATATTTTGTTTTTATTAAATTATTTTTAAAATAATTTAATGCCTTCCTTTATAAAATTTTTTAAAAAATTATTTTTTTGCAATGCAGCCGGGTTATTAGAGGGGAAGTTAAACTACACCCAAACAATGCGTTCCTTCCATATAAAAAATCTCCGGTAGGCTCCCCACAAATAAAATAGCCGTTGCAGAGATCAGGCCCAACGGTCAACTTTTCAATTTGCAGCCCTTGTATTTCATAATTTTTTTCCGAAACGCCTCCTTTAAACTTTCTCAATTCTATTATAATTAAATAATCATAAAATTCACACTTTCCAAATAAAATAGTTTCTCATCGCAAATAAAACCCCGTCTCACGCCCATTTCATCTCCTACTCCAACCGGATCAAGAACACGGGAAGAACTCTCTCTCAGACTCCTCTTTCTCGCTTTCTTTCACTTCCTTTCTCTGGAATAAGCACTGAAGAAGAAGCAATCAGCGGGAAAGTAGTAAAAATAAATGGAGGAGGCCAGGATTCCGGTGTTCTCTGTCCTAAAGAAGGGCACCACGCTAAAGAACATCTTCCTCAATAGCCCCCCTCCTGAAACCGGAAAACCCTTATCCCCATCACGAGAGAACGATCCCATACTCATGGGCCGGCACCCGGAATGCCACATCGTCGTCGATCATCCAAGCATCAGTCGAATTCATCTCGAGGTTCGCCCAAAATCTTCATCGCAGAAACTTTTCGTTACAGATCGCTCTTCAGGTTTGTTTCTTCGCAAGATGACCTCTTCTTATTCGATCTTTTTCCGCAAAGAACGATCATCGTTTATTCTGTACCTGATGCTTGCTTTTTTGTGCTGCAGTTCACGGGACTTGGGTTTCAGGTAAGAAGATCCAACCTAACATCCCTGTTGAAGTGATCGAAGGAGATACTATTAGACTTGGGGCTTCGACGAGGATTTACTGCCTCCATTGGATGCCATTGAGCCATGCCTTTGAGATGGAGAAGCCGATGTCACCATTGATGGAAGAGGCTCCAGATTTCGTAAATAATGATGAAGCTCTTCTGGTTAGTTTTTTTTTTTTTTTTCTTTTTGAAAAAAATGTTGGAATCTTGACTTATTGGTTGAAGCCTGCAGGATTTTTTAAATAATTTTATTTATTTATTTATTTATTTTGCATTAGGATGAGAGTTTCAATGAAGCCTGGGTTAGCAATATAATACCTTCTGCTCCTCCTTTGAGGATTTCATCTCCTGCGAAGCTCTTTTCTCAGGATTTGGAAAAAGAAGGCGAGATCTTGATAAGAAAAGAGACGTTAGAACAGAGCTCATGCTTTTCTTCTATTGTTCCATTGCTAGAATCTGTGAGCTACTCATGGCCCTTGAAGGAGGAGATTGGAGTCTCTAAGAATCTCCTTGCTAATGAGATGCATCCTGAAAGAGAAGAGCTGAGCCCATTAAGATCAAATAAGATTATCAAATCATCAAGTCTTTTGTTAAGGAGGAATAAGTCGATTGGATTTCTTCAAATTGAGAATAAGAGCAAAGAGAATGGCAGCCAGATTAGTAAGGCTAAAGAAAATTTGGAGATCAAGGATCAGATGGCTGGAGCTTTTGCAGGTAGAAATGGAGAGGAGACCCCCTTTGTTCTCTTAGCTGAAGGTAATGTAAAAGAAGAGGAAGAAGAGTTCTCTGTTTCAGACAAAGAGAATTTGACTCCCGTAAACTCTATTGGCTACAAGGTACTGAAGAGCAATAGAAAAATTGCGAGGTCACCGCTGAGTTCCTGCAGCTTATTCCTTAAAGAAGATTTGGAGATACAGGAACGGAAAGTTGGAGATTTAATAAAAGGAAATGGAGAGGAAATTCCCTCAGTATTTTTTTCTGAAGGTTATGTAAAGGAGGAAGAAGAAGAGACGTTTTTTTCAGACAAGAAGAAAATGAGTCTAGTAAACTCTATTAGCTCCAAGGTACAGAAGAACAACGGTAAGATTGAGACATCACCGCTGAGTTCTTTCAGCTTATTTCATAAAGAAGATTTGGAGATTGCGGAAAAGAATCTTCGAGCTTTAATAGAATGCAATGGTGAGGAGATTCCCTCAATTTTCTTACCTGGGGGTGATCTGAAAGAGGAAGAAGATGAGATGTGTGTTTCAGATGAGGAGAAAATGGCTTCAGTAAATTCTATTGGCTCCAAGGCACTGAAGAGAAACAGAGAAATGAATAGATCATTATTGAGTTCCTTCAACATATCTAATAAAGATGATTTAGATATAGATCAGAAAATTGAAACTTTTGCAATAGAAAATGGAGTGGAGAAAACCCCCTCAGTTTTCCTAGGTGAAGGTCATGTGAAAGAGGAAGAGGAGGCATTTGTTTCAGACAAGGAAAATTTGACTCTAGTAGACTCCAGTGTCTCCAAGGTACCGAGGAACAACAGAGGGAATGAGGCATCACCGCTGGGTTCCTTGAGCACATTTGATCTGGAAGAAGAGCGTTTTACTTCATACAAACCAACATCTGAAACAACAGATCAATTTAAATCAAATAAACTGAGGTCGAGAAGTCGCTTAATGAATGAAAATGGGGACTCAAAATTGTCTGATTCAAAAAACTTAGAGAGCTTATTCTCTCCAGGAATTAAGTTGCAAAGAAACCTATTTAAACCAGAGCGATCACCTCTAGGCGAAAATAATGCTTTGAATGTGGAAGAGGATAGGTGTCTTTCAGATAAAGAGAACTCAACTCCTAAAGTTCCCAAATCTTTGAAGTCAGGAAAAGCTTTTGCAAGAGATGTCCTGAAGGCTGAAAGCGAAAAGGATGAAACATTTGCCTCAGATAAAGAGAATTTGACACCGCAAAGCTCAATGTCAATTACATCAAAGAAAGCACTTTCACAAAACCATGGGAAAAAAGAAGGGGAAACTATGAGTAGAAGAAAAGAAAGAATCCCGTTTCAGCCTCTATTTGTTAGCTCTACTTTGCGAAACAGCAGTCCTGCAAGCTATCTACAAGGTCTAGATGATACATTCGGTAACAATTATGTCAACAATGTCCATAATTTAGAGGAGAAAGCACCCCATGTACGTTTTCAATTTCAGCTTTTGAATGCATTTTTCTTAATTTCAACATTGCTTGTTTAACTGAGTTAATTTTTGTGTCAGACCAAGCATAAGGAAGAGCTGCCTCACATGCCAGTTAGAGAGACAAATAAATGGTATATTGTGGTGGATGTAGGCTGCTTCCTCACTGAAGAATCCAGAAAATCACTCCAGCTATTAGAAGGCATCAGAGGGACTCAACTTATTATTCCAAGGATAGGTAAACCAAACCATACGCCCATCCCCCTCAAATATATTATATGATCCAAATGCATGTAAAGCAAGGTGCATTTGGCCTATTCACTATTGCATATGGCTTTGTATTTATATACAGTATACTAAAGAATACTGGCTTTAAAAGACGATAAAAAAATTGATGGACTAGATAGAAGACTCCATTTTACTCTACTGTATGATTATATCGATATAAGTTATAGCCCTTTGCACCGTGAAGGCTTATTTCTTCTTGTGTACAAAATACATTGATATAAATCTACACAATAATAGACACTTAAAGTAGCACACATACTCGAGAAATTATTCCGTGTGGAGTCCGTATGGTAAAGAATCGTTTGGATGTGAGTGTACACTATGTGTACATTAAGTATAATTTTGTACACAGGTTGATTTTTTTTTTTGTACACAGTGTATGCAAACACTGTGCTCACATCCGAATTATACATTGTGTACACTCACATCCGGATTATATACTGTGTACACTCACATCCGGACGGTTCTTTACCGTCCTGACTCCACACGAAATAATTTCTCCACATACTCTCGCATGCATTTCATGAACATACTAATCTCTCGATCCCGCACAACTAAACTTATTTCAGCACAAGCTGAATTTTTACTCCTTTGCATCTGCTATAGTCATTAGGGAGCTCGACCACCTCAAAAGGTGCCAGGGGATACTAAGTAGAGGGACAAAGGCTTCTTCTGTTTTGCAATGGATAGAAGAGAGCATGAAGAAGACGAGTGAATGGATTCATGTTCAGAGCTCATCAGAGACCTTCCCAGCAGCACCAACGCCCCCTGCTACGCCAAGATCACTGCTCTGTGATGGAAGCTTAGGCTTTGGCACTGCGACTTCACCAAACTTCACTGGTTTCTCCACATGCGGAAGTTTAATGGAGATTGTTTCCCCAACAGCTGAAGACCATATCCTTGATTGCGCTCTTCTGTTCAAAAGAATAAAAGATGATGGCCAGTTAATTCTGCTAAGTAGCAGCACCACACTGAGGATCAAAGCCATGGCTGAGGTGAAATATTAGCTTTTACTGAGTTCATCTTTACCGCACTGATTTGATTACAGGGCGGGCGATTCATTATTCATTTCATTCTTTTACAGGGATTACTATGTGAGACGCCCAAGGAATTTAGAGAGAGTCTTCTGAATCCATTTTCAAAGAGATTTCTATGGGCAGATAGTAGTCCAAGAGGATCAACTTGGTCTTGCTTAGAAGAAGTTGGTGTAGCTGAAAATTACCATCAACAATTTGCGTCTGCAAGAATGCCCAAAGCAGAAGGAACTGTGAAGGGATTGAAACTCATTCTTCTACACACCTCTCATTGTGGAATGACCAACTCGATCTCATGAACAATTGAGATATCTCTATCTCTACAGTATCAAACTCTATAAACCATTTTTTCTTCTTGTAATTGTTGGTTGTTGAACATGTGTTATTCTCCTGTGAGCCATTAGAAATGTTATGATTTCGTCAGTTAAAATCTATCTCAAATGCTGCACTCATAAATTCTGTCTATATTATCAGCACAAAAACCTGTTGGGGAGTTTGCCCACAAAACAAAGAGATGAATGGTTCAATTACGGAGCAATATCTAGTCCGAACGCGTCCGGAGATTAATTTAGTTACGTCATGTCATCCAATAGATTATATATTGGATGACGTGGTATGTTCGGATTTGCTTCCGGACAAGTTCAAACAGAATAATCTTTCTTTATAATGAAGTTACTAATTGGAATTTTGCATCCAGGATCCAAAGGGAGGGTCTGATGGTGTTCATTTTACATCACTAGTAATAACCATCATCGAATTTCGGCCTAGATCTAGATTCCTAAAGTTTTTTTTTTTTTTTTTTTCTGCTAGCAGAAATCTCTATTTATAGGTAGAGGATTTGGATATTTAATTGTCTGAGATTTAAACTAAATAATTGATTCGTATTCATATAAACGAAGCAAAATTTAAAATTTAGAATATGGATAATTTACATAATTACTTATCCATATGGATGAATCATAACATTTAAACGTATGTCCGTTATGCACTCTCATCATATTTGGTCATATGTAAGTTACTTTCAAATTAGTAGAACACAACACACTTTAAATATCGTGCAATGCCTTAGAAATATCAATTTCGCTTAGTTCAAGCACTTTTGATCCCTTACAAGCACCTAACTTAGAACATACTCGGGCTTTATTTTGGACGACTTTTTTATTGCTTTCTAAAGCGTCTTTTAAGTATAATTTTTTTTTTTGAACTAAAAATTTTTGTACAACTAAAATATTTTGTAATAGAAAATTATTTTAGAAAGCTGCCCAAAACGGTCTTAATACTAATGGTCTTTCACTTTATTTTTTCCTCTAAAAACTAATGAAATTTCAATTGACGATAACTATTTAATCAGATTAAATAAATATTTAATATTATATGATAATGATTGAAACTATCAAATAAGATAAAATAAAATGAAATAAAAGAATTTAATATAGCGAGAATTCTCAAGATAAACAATGGACAATCTATTTGCTATTAAAAAAGTTATTTCAATCATTGGTCATTGCCAATAAAACATTAAAATACTTTCTATCAATATGACCGCTTTGAAGATGGATTAAAGATCCTATCTATTGAAACATCTTTTATTTATGACCATTTTTGTGATCAAATTTGAGTTGTCTTAAAACCCCCAATGTAAGTTGATCTGTGCACCACGCTTAGGCTTGGGGTGTGCCTATAAACTTTCAGGGACAAACCACCCGAGTCGCGCCTTGTCCGTATCCTGAGTGAAGAGTGGGCGTCGGGGAAAGCCGAAAACTTCTTTTTATAGAACTAAAAGAAAATGAAAAACGGATCGGAACATTGCTAAAGTCTAGCCGTGGGTGAGTGCCTGACCAAGATCTAACTTTTCTAATCGAGATACAAGTCTAGCTAATTGTATCCAATTTGTATGTGTCTCATCTTATAGGGCTAAAGAATAGTGTATTAGGTACATATGATGAATCTTCGAAGTGGGCCCTTTCTACTCTTTCATGAAGAGGAATTCAATAAAAATTTACTCTAGAGTGGTTTTGATTAAAATGAGAACCATTTAAAATATATTTTGGCTTTAGATGCAAGCAAGAAAATATTTTTCCTCACTAGCTTTGATTTTGAATTAGGCTTTACATGAGCAAAAATTAATTTTGAATATATTGAAATCATTATTTTGTCATATATGTTAAACAATTATATTGCCACATTTAATCATGAAATTTTAACTTAGCAATTAATCTCATATATTATGCATATATATGATCATATTGGCCTTAACTGATCCAAGAAGAATTTTTCTCCAACTGGTTATACTTGGATGTATTATGGTTTAGATAGGAACAACCATTTATCAAATGATTTCATTAATGATGTAGAGGAGTTCATCTATTTTTCATTCTCATGTAGTGAAAATATTTATATTAATAAGATTAATTATCCATACTTTGATATGACAACAAGCATTTTCATATACAAATGATCGATAACATCATAATTCATTTCTTCAAAAAGGATTAAAAAATTATTTAATCATCAATCATGATCGGGTTGAGTCATATTTTTCATGGTATTTATGCAATTAAATTAAATGTCAATCATATGAAGAAATTAGAGAAGAATATTATCGAGACAACTTGTAAGCTAGAGAATATTTTTTTCAACATCATTGTTTGACTCCATGGAGCACCTTCTAATTCACATACCTTGTAAGTCATGCTACTCCTAAATCTCTACATTAAAGAAATCATGCGAACATATGATGTTATATAAGATATAACAAATAAAGGGATTCACCTAGTTGGACAAGTTGTCCGATTATACTCGACCATGTGACATGAACTACATACTCTATTGGTTTGTGGCCTAATTTCATCTATTTTGTTTCTTTATTGTCTACTTTGGGGTTAGCTCGATTACCTTTTATAGCGTGGTGGATTGAGTGGGAAAGACAATACATTGGATCATGGGATACTTAATCCACTCTATTTGAATGTTATGGAATTCATCAGAATATGTGATTTTACAATTTCGTATGGTGTAGTACTGTGAAACATAATATAGATGGCTTTATCCTAATAGTGCAATACAACTAATAACATATGTGCAAGAGGCATGATAAATCAAAGTTCGTCTGCAAGTTCACCAGTAGTATGCATCAGCAATTATATCCACTCTACATGAACTGGATGATATGTCAAAAACTTGAAATTCATGCATGCTGATTCAAGTAAGTTCTAACAATCGACTGACCTCTAGATCTACTCGAGAAAGTGTTGATTGTATGCGATGGGAAAACAAGTTGTTGTTCTGAGGCTCTTCATGCATGAGTTTGGTGTCACAGTAACCCAGTACTTTTCTCTTAGCATAACTGAAGTAGGTAGTGACAGCGGCAACAATTTTAACTTTGGAACCTGATACTTTCCTCATAATTCGGGTATGTTGTAGTTTTGTTATCATTAGCATGTATTTTACTTGAAACTTCTTTTGAATGAAGCGAAGACAATAGTAAACTCACATATAATGTGATCTTGATAATATTATCTCATATAATGTCTTTTTAATGTCAATTTTAACTTCATAGGTCGACACAACTTTGGGATGATGGTGTATTGGTTAACATGACTACAATTGACAAGCAAGCTAACATCTGATTGATCATAAACTCTTAGTGAAGGATTTTCTAAGGTATTATTTGTAATTTGAGTTATTGCAGGTTGTCACACCTATTTTTTGATAGCATCCATCTAACACAGCGTTATTTATAATTTTATTCATTGCAGACTACGTCTTAGAGATCGTTGATCACCTAGTCTTTGTTTATTTTTAAGTATTCTACTTCCTTTATTTGTAAATATTTAGCATGATTAAGAGATGAATGACTTGTGATCTACATTGGTTAGATTGCAATCTACTTTGACTTATAGATTTAATGCTTAGAAAACTACTTTAGGAAGCAACAATAAAGTGTTCCAAACGAAGACTAAGACTTCGTTTGGGATGACTTTCTTATTACTTCTTAAAGCAGCTAGCTTTCTAGTATAAAATTTTATTTGTTGTACTAGAAAGCTGTTTTAAGAAGCAGTAAGAAAGCCGTCCCAAACGAAGCCTATGTATGAAGTGTAGTTCTCAAGTTGGCTCTAAAAGAATCGTTAACTTCAGTTGATTGTATTGGTGCCTTTGAAAGATGAAATCAATGTGATGAATATGCTAATCAGAACTGCATGAATCCCTTCTTAAGTCAACTAATATATGAAGGTAAATTAATCTAGGAAGTGTGATATAATGTGAGTACACTAATTATAGTTCTCTTTAATTATATTAGAACTTGATGTGATCGTACAGTACGATTTTATAGTTAAAGTAGATCTAAAACTAGCTAATGTTTTGTGTTCTTGTTTTGCAAATTTATAAAGTATAGCCCTCTCTTTCGCTTCTGATGTGACCTATTTTGTCATGTTTGTGTATCATTTTTGTGAATTTTGTTACCCTCTTTTTGGTGAATTAGTTTGACTTTGTTGTAGTTGGCAAGATTATAATATTTTTTGTTTGATTAATCTAATATTATTGTATTATTGCTAATCAAATGTTAATCAAATAAGCTTTAGAATGGGTGCAAGAATCCCTTAGTTGTATTATTGCATAATATGGTGAAAAAGATAATATCGACATACAATTGATATACCTACAATTTAATTATTCGTGGAATAAAATCTTGAATTTTGGAATTTAAAACAAATTAGTTTAATACATATTAAATATTCAATAATTGTTGCAATTCTGTAGAATTGTGGCGGTCAAAATCACTACTATATACAACACTTCCACAAAGCTACCTGAACGATCTTGAAATCACTGTGAAATATTGTTATAGCACATTGTAATCACAAGAGTTCTTTGTGGCGGCAAAAACCACCGAGAAAGACTATTTTAGTGCTTGGTTAGCCCTTTTTTGTGGTGGTGGTGGTGGTGTGTGTGTATATATATTTATATTCAAATTCAAGTATTTTTTTAATTAGATAACATAATTCTAATCCTAATTTAATAAGACTAGATCACGAACTTTTTAAATATCTTTTAGCTAGGATACATATACTATAGAGATAATTAATTTAACACTATTTAGAAAAAAAAATTAAAAATATTGAGTTTTTTTTTTGTATGAGCATTTATTATAAAAAAATTTCTCATGTCAGCATAAGTTATTCGTGCATCAAGTCGCCCATTAAAAGTGCAATAATATCTATTTTAAATTTTATTTTCAATATACTTTTCAAATAATTAAATAATTTATTATGTTTATTTTTAAAATTTATCCCTCTCCCCCCCCCCAACTCCCTGGGGATAATTATTTACCATGTCGAAGTCCTTCAGATGTTTGAGCCGACCTGCAAGGATAAAAGCAAAGAAAACTACAATGAAGAAATGAAGAAGGAAACAGCTGAAGTAAAGTTCATCT